ACAAGCTACTCATCTTTAGCAGCATGTTTGGAGAAACAAACATCTACAGTAGCTGCCAGAATATCAAGACTCCTCCACGACATCACACCTCATCTAAAATACATAAACAAAACATGGCCCCGAAGCATAGTATCTGTCGAAATTCATTTATGCCCTCACTGGTTTCGCATAATGAACATCAATCTTAATCTGCATACATTTCCCAAAAAACCAACATACCTTAATACATTTAATTATCTATTTAAGAAAAACATATTATCTCTCAATCAAATACAAACACATATATACAGCGATGCATTTATTACAGAAGGTCGTGCCGAAATGGTCATCATACATGAAGATCAACAAATTTAATGAAGACTCCCCGACAAATGCTCCATGTATACAGCTGAAGCTCTAGCCATTCTCAAAGCCATCGAATACATTATTTTAGATACTAACCACAACTATATAGCGATTCTTTATATACTCTCACCAGTCTCTAAAATCTTCACAATCCTGTTGTAATTTAAAAATGATAATTAATTTACAAAATAATTGAAATGTAGTAAAAATATTAGTTTTTATTATACTTTATTATTAGAGCGAATTGGTCTATTATTAAATTTTAAGTTAAAATCATTATTTGTGTGCTAACTTATAAACAAAGATAATGTTTTTAACTTTAAGTTTAATAATGGGTCAATCCAATCTAATGTTTAAGTTAATAATACAGGATTGGTTCAGCTGGACACGAATGGCGATGTTGTGACTGGGTTAGGGAAAGAAAACAAAATAAAGTGCACCGATATCCTTCTAATAATATACTTTATCTTAATTCTTAATGCCATTCATTAGAGTTTATTTTCTTTTTGATTTTAGCTACCTATCACTATTTTCTTATCATTTATTATTTAGTGTTGTAATTTATATTATTCCAGATGAGATACATATCCCCTATAATCTCTTTTTTCTCCAAGCTTGAAAATAATGGCAATGTAACCTAAGAATATTGTAAGGTGTAAAAAAAAAATAATTCATGTGGGGCTGTTTTGTATACATTTGTTCAGTCTCCTCTCTCCTCCTAAAAAATTGATGTGTTGTATATGCAACACATTTTTACACTTCTATTAATAGCTATTAAATATAGAAATTTATATTATTGAAAAAATAAAAACACATTATGGAAGATAAAATGCTCTTCAATTTTTGATAAATTTGTATAGTATTCATTCGTATGTATTATGTTCTTTAAATGGAATTATTTCTTTAAAAGGTTCATAAAACTTATTGATTAAGTTTTGTGGTAAATGCGCTGATTTTAACTTTGTATTATAATACATTTTATAAGACGTTTTTGCCACTTCATGCCATATTTTATTTCTCACAAATCATTTTGTGTAATACGATTTAAAAATTATAAAAATTGTATACGAGGCATTGTGGTACATGAAATAGCTAAAAAATTATGTGAATGAAATTTTATCGAATATTTTAGTTTAATCTTTAATACGATAAAACATTCACAGTTTTATTATTGCAAATATATTCATTATTGTAGTTATAATAAACATTTTATAATTATAAATATTAAAAATTTTAACAAGTGTATTGTTTTTTATATAAATTTTAAATAACTTTTTTCTACTGCATAGAGTATTATATAGTTTTACCATTATTTCTTACTTTACTTTAATTAATGTGTACAATATTAATATAGTTTACCATTAATTGATTTATTATATAAAGTTACATATAAAAAATTATTTAACAAAACATATTTGCTGATGTTATTGTTTTATGAAATAAATAATGATATTCAGCAGGTAATCAAATATTATTGTTAATAATTATAGTGTGCACGCCCATAAATTAATACTGATTTTTGGTGATTATATTATATAAGCGTTTAATCGGTTAAAACTAATCTAATTGGGCTTGGTTTCAAATTAAAACACTGTGAATAAATTGATTTGCCCGATCGATTGTGCGCGATCAATTGACTGGACAAGCCGTTTTATTCACATCGAAATCTCTGATTATTTGCACGACCGAGTCTAAGTATCAAAGATTATCAATCAAACCTCCTCACACTTGATGTAATTTGTTTTCACTCGAGTGGTGCTTATTTAAGCGTATATTTTTAAAACAAAATATCAATACATGGTTTTACGAAACTCACTCCAGCGCAACGTAAAACATTATTTTGCTTTTAGGACTTTTTGTTGTCGTTGTTATTAAGCTCCTATGGAAAACCGCGATTTAAAAATGGCAACACAGTTACGAGTTACCTTATACATATTATACTAAATGGATCTAGGGGTTGTTTTGACTATATCCGATTTGAGAGTAGATAGGTACTACATTGAAGCTCAACGGTGTAAAACTTCCGTTTGTGTCCATCTCTATCATGACTTATGATGTCCTACTCGTATGCCTGCCTACATCTATTATATATTTATATACTATACATATACTGATATTTATGTATACAGTTGTACAGATATAAAGGTTTTACTGTTTTGTTTTTTGACATTATATTTTATTCGGGCGTGCTGTCATCATCATTAATATAATTTATTTTCTACTCTATTGCATTAGATTTGGTTCAAATGATTTTTTGGCACAACAAGCATAAAAAAAAACCTATGGACTTAAATAATCACCATCGTTTAAGAAACTGTAATTCTAATATTTTTAGTTCGAGTTTGTCAAAAATCTAAATAAATGTGATAGCATATTAAAAATTTGATTTATAATAATAATCCATCGTTTAAATTACAAGTGATTAGATAATGTATCTGTATTTTTTTTTATGGTATAGTTTAAATGTTATTAAATTTCGATGCTACTATTTTTTTTTTTTTTAGCATGACGATAGATTCCGCTTTTTACATTTTTTTTTTTATTACTGAAAATAAACTGTCATTTGCTTTCAAAATAACGAAGTGATTTTTAGAGGATGTTCAATAAATAATGATAAAAAGCTAAAAGTAAGATTTAAATGATTTGTTAAAAAAATGAAATCAGTTTAGTTAAAATAATCATCTTTAAAAAAAATAAAGTTAAAAAAAAATGCAAGTTATAATACACTTGTCTAGGTCTTATTTAAGTCTTTGAATGCTATTTTCAATAGTTAGAAGTACATAGACCTTCGTAAGGATGTTTATAACGTTTATGTAATTAAATGGAATTTAGTTAGTACCTATGTATTTTCATGTTAGATAAAAAAAAAATCAAAAGTGTCTCTAAATAAGATATTAAAAAGTTATAAAACTATAGATAAACTATAAAATACAAAAAAGTATGAATAAAAGTTTTCGTTTATGTCGATGTTTAGTAGATGCAATTTATTTTTATTTAGTGTAAAATAATATGTTTTAATATTGTTTTTAAATGCGATATAACATCATACGTCTTGTAATCAATCCTCGAAGTAATAACGTTGTTACATAGCATATATATATTATAACTAGATTAGTTGCATATTTGATTTTTTATTATTACGTTAGTTTTAACTTATAACTCATATTTGATTTTATTGAAATAGAAGTTTTATACCAAACCACTTTTTTTACATTATAAATCTTAGTTATTTATAGATTTAGTACTTTTTACGAGCATCTAGAATATATATGTATTCAAAAAATTTGAACCTATAGTACCCATACAAACTATACATCTTTTTAAAAAAATATTGAAATGGGGTCTTGCAAGGCTCATTACGTTACGCGAGTTTTTTTCGATAGCAAACACAGTTTTGATCCTAGCACAGTGTTACCAATACCAAACCATGAGTACCTATGTTTTATACAATCTAACGATAAAATTATTTCCATAGAAACAATAGTTTAGTTGATAATCGGGAAAATCTAAACATTTTTTTGCAAAATATTATTGCAAAATCGTCTTAATGGTACCCATTCCAAGAAAAAAAGCTTTTCACAAAAAAATCGCTTTATCTATCTGATAAATCTGGGTAGTGAAAGGGATATATTTGTTAGTTTAACGATATAAATCCATATTATTTGTAATATATTTAAATTTATTTTCGTCGAAAATTTATTTATTTTTTTATTTTATTTTCAACGCGGATTTTATTGAATTTAATTTAGTTGTATTCGTACGACGAAAATATTTTATGAAATCTGCGTTTTTCGTGTTTACAGTTAAAATATACAATAATATAAATTATACATAAAATTTTAATCAAAAATAAACAAAATAAACAGGTATATCATTTGTATCAATATTATTGAGATTTGTCGAAAGTACTTATCGAATTTGTGAAAGAACACGACAAGAAGAAAATACATTCATGCATCTAAGTTCCAACTCTAATTAAAATTATTAAAATAATAATTATATCCAAAAAAAAGTATTTAAAGTATGATTAAGTATAATAAAGTATGAATGGAATTATTTTATAATTTTGAGGGGAATTCTAAAAAAGATTTAATAGCCAATCATATATAAAATTGTTTGCAAATATAGGTACTTTCAGATTTACATTTATCATTGACGACAACGACATTTTAATCATTGATATTTTTTCACTGTTATATAAATAAGATGAATAAATAAGTAGGTTTGTTTAATACAAAAAGGATTATTAAGATATATATACTTTTTTCAATTTAAAACTATTAATCATTAAGAAATTGAAAAGATAATGTTTAATATTTTTAATAAATTCATTTATGTGTAGTTAGAGAGATTTTGAATTCAAAAATGGTTAATTCTATCATTAAAACTGTATGTATCGTAAGTCAATGTATAATGACACTTGTTAGAAAAGCGTTCATCAATTTCAATGAAATATCTGTAAAGAATAAAGAGTATTTAAAGAATGCAAGTGAACATTATTTTATTTCGTAAATTAAGCCCTTGTTTGAAGTATTTACTTTATTTAGAATATTAGAATACTACCTAAGTATGGTAAGCAACAATTTTAGAGTTTCATTTAAAACATTTTGGGCATAAAATAAATAAAGTTAAATTTTAAGGTTTAAATTACTTACTGATTTTTATATTCCGTAAATTCGTTGAGAAGTATCAAATGTTGTTGATATATTTTGACGTATAAAATACACACTGATGAGTGATCAATATCGCTGTACCGTGCGCCGTGTGTAAGTTATTAGTCGATTGGTTTGAAAAAACTGAAAAAAAAAACAAACTCATTTGGTAGGAATGCGTTCAATATTTTCATTACGAGAAAATACTTAAACAAACATTACTTTTTATACATTCCAACTTTATAATATTTTATGGTAGAATATTTTATTATTTAAATCTAAAAATTCAACCGCCCATGAAACTTTCAAACAAATCGCGGTAATGTAAATCATTTTTTAACCGTTATAGGTACATACGGGTTTAGACATTAAAGCTTTTAAAAGTGTAGTATTAAATTGAAATCATAATCTCATATAGATGCTGTTGATTAAAATCTAAGAAACAGAAAAAAATACACCATGTATTATGTAGTTTATAATGTACATTTTACAATTATTATTAAAGGCATATAGAAATTACAATTACAATTTACACACTTAAGAAAATTTAATGTGTTCGTTGAATTCGTTCATATTCATTCTTAAATTCTTAACGAGTGCTTAAAATACAATTTTAAATTATAGTGTTATAGCTGTATTACGAAATCATAATTATGTTAGATGGAAATGTATAAGAACAAAAGCGTAAATTAATTAAAACAATGGTTGGTTAAAATATTTAACTTATTATTATTATTTTCGATTGTATTGTGTCCAAATGCAAAAGGAGAAATGCGAAATGGTAACAAACAATAATTCTCTGTTTTTAATTTTTGGAAATTTAACGATGATTGTGACCATATGAGGCTAAGTTGATTAATTTTTTTTTGCACGATATTAAAGTATACGCAGAGAATAAAGTAAAAATACGTGTTATTATTTGAATTTACAAATGTACGGTTATTATTGCGTCTATGTTTCAAGCGCACGTAAAATATGAATAACGGGCTACTTCATAGATATAGAGTCCAGTAAGTCTATCCCGACGGTAAACGCATTTGCTTGGAAAATGTATGCTCCACTGCATGACTTTTCATAACTGTCGGATTTACGCTCTTTGATCTCTCTTTTTTTCTTTATTTATTATTATTTTTTTTTTACTTTGTTCTGTTTTGTCTATATCCACGGACGATTCGAAAAAAGGTTAAACTATGCTCTTTTTTACTTTGGCGGGGTATAGGACTGTACAAGACTGAAAATTGTACTGGGGGAAACACTGCTGCAGTGGCAAACACTTATATTGTTTGGTGCCCGGGATGGCGGTGTGGCGTTAAGCTATAACCGATACGCATCACCGGATGGATGAGGAAACCAAAGGTTCTCCGTTACTCTGTACCTATATATTATAAAAAGCGAGGTTAAACAATGTCGAGTGGCCTGTGCGCAGACAACGTATTGTGTATTATTACATATATAATACCAGATGGCAGATATACTAGATAAAAAAAAAAAAAAAAAACATCATCCTGGGCACCTTCGCATTTTCACAACACACTACACTAAAGATTTACCGATAGAATTTTTTACATTTTCACGATTTTAAGCCTATAATAATATAACACTTTTCGAAAATCGTCTTTAAATTTTAACTGAATCGTATATGTATGGCAAGAATAAGGTTTTTGTGTCTCGCAGGTAAAACCCTGATGCTATCAGCTTTATGACCGCTAGCCGTTAGCCGTATACATATATACTTACTTATATGTTCAAGTATAAATGATTCGCAATAAAACTCGTATTTAAGCGGGTGGTCGAGAATTGCTGAGGGATTAACTAGTGCCATAACTACTCGGACGCCATTATTTATTTAACTGTTACTCTAAAACAACACAGGAAACAAATAAAACAAAAACTAGAGTACATTCAGGTTATACTTTACAGGCTATAATATATTTAATCGTAATAGTGAAAATGTGTGCACTAGTGACAATAATGATTAATTTATACATAATAATATAGGTTCAACATAAAATAGGTAGTGAATAATGTTCTGATTTGGCTGCCAATGTATTTTAAAAATAATATTATAAACGCCATTAATCAAATTTGTCTGGTAATATTTGGTATGAAATTCATACTAAATAAAATGACATAGATGATTTATTTCTCAAGATAAAATTTGAGAATGATGAAATAATCCAGTAGTTTACATTGAATTTTAAATTTTCTTCCGTAAAATATATCAATTATTAAAACTGACTAAAAAGATATATTAAACTTCCTATTAGTATAACTATATTATCCTTTTTAAATAAATATACTGGTATAAATTCAAACGAAGAGTAAAATATTTTATTAGAATAGCTAAAAGGTTGATAAATATTTTGACAATATATCATTTAACATTTAATTTTAGGTTTAATTGTTTGTGTTTGTATGTAAACACGATAAGAAATCGATAATATTCTTAAAATTCAAAAATGAGAGTGGTAACAAATCGGATATAATTTTTATTCAGTTCTCAATATTTTTTTGTTATTATTAGAAAAAACAAACAACAATTTAAGGAAAAATGGGAATTTTTAAGCAAATCCTCTTTTTGAAAAAAATGATTTTGTTTTTTTTTTATGTAACTCGAAAAAAATAACCATAAATACCTGAAATGTTCATAAAATGTTTATATTAACATTTTTTTATTGAAGATTAAATTTTCAAAATACTAAATGTAAAAAAAAAAAATGACTTTAATAGCTATATCAAAAAAACATTTGGTGATATAGTCTAATAGACCGTTTCCGCTCAGAATCGATTTTTGCATACAGTGCGGTATATCATTGAATTCAAATTTAACAGACCTATAATAGTAATGCAATCGACATCTAATGTACAACAGAGCGGTACCAAATTGCCTACCTTTTTATTAATGTGCTTATATTATCATACAAATTGGAATAAACAACTTTATTAGTAAAAAAAAGCTTAGAAAATAACCACAAATTTTAGTTACTAACTACTTAAAAAAACTATATTTTGATGCTGGTTTTAATGTCAGTACAACATGTTTAGTTGTCTATTATTAATCATTGCATTGGTTGAATGTGTTTTAGCAAAGGTACACGACTCTTTATCTTATTTGAAACTTCGACATTATTGTTAACATTATTTTTTACCCTTTTTAAATTTGCGTCTTCTAACCATTAAATAAATAAGATATTGTATGTTGTGTTTGTTATTTTGTAAATTAATGTTTTAATATGAATACATTATTTAAAACAAAAATTAGTTATACGAATGTATTTTATAAATATTTTTTTAGTTTACTAGGATATACATTTTATTAATATTTAACCTTTGTTTTTTAAGAATTACTATTACAAAACATAAGTAGGTACTAAATAAAAAAAATTTACGATTAGGAACGTAGTATAAAGCATTATTCTGTAAAAATATATAAATATATTATAAATAAACGTATTTATTTAAATTAAACAAAAAAAAAAAAAAATGCAAACGATGTTTAATGTTCGAATATAAACAATGCTATTCCTAAATAAACAAACTATTAAAATTTAAAACGTAATGAAATTTAAAGACTTGATTCTCCAATACTTACATATGTTAATAAAAAAAAAACGATTGATCAATGTTTAGATATATTTTATTCAATTGATAACTGTTAACACAGAACACTTATAGAAAATGTGTTAAGCGAGATTCGCATGTGACCATGGGTTTCAGTAAAACTGCCCTCGACCAGGATATTTTGAAATGTTATTTCCGCGTACACCTACATAATAATAATATATTCATCTGTAGTGTGGGTAATTACGGTGCGATTTATAACGATACTGTGTGTGTACGCACACATATAGTATAATAATAATCATAATAATAATAATATAATACAGCTATTATTCTACGTCCATGTATTTTAAATGTTACTGTTGGGGCCAGAAAGAACATATTCATTAAAACCCCGTTATTATTGCGGGATTATAAATCAAGAGCGACGCAATATTTTCCATAGGGCTGAACGGTTTGCTGCAGCAAACAATGGAATGCGTTACAGTCGTATGATATGTTATTATGTGCGCAATATGAGTTATTATATTTTTCATATATTTTCGATTCGACCAGTTTCCATTCAGTCACATGCGCAGCTTCGCATCGCGACTTAAGTCAATTTTTGTTCTCGAATAAACGATATAATATAGCAAAATAACGTATTTATAATGACGCATCTTATAATGGTGTAAACATTTAAAAAGATCTGCGAAGAACACAAGTGGTCGGCTCACGATTTCTAATAATTTGTTCATTATACATCATTACCGCGAATACGGTATCGATTCTGAGCGATAAAATGACTTACGAGAATACAGTAGAAATAAAAATGAAATACGTTTTGAGCACGCGATGAGATATAAATAAACGATAATGATCGTCGTCTTCTGATGTAAAAAATATGTTGCCTCTGAAGCTTACGGGCATTTCGGTGATGATAGCAGCGAGTTTTACACACACACCGACACACGCACGTAATTTATCATCGTAGTCGATTGTTTGAAATTTGTATAGCACATTGATGATGTAGTTAGTAATAATTTCCATTTTCCCCTCGGGTGAATGAAAAACGTATCGCCCGCTGGTATTCTAGATAACATCACAGAGCAATCGAAATGTTCGGCGAAAACTTGCGTTTGCATCAGAAATCATTCTAACAATACATTTTATATTATATTACACTATACTTGCTCTTTAATCTGTTTTTGTACTATCAAACACTTGTGATGTATTCTAAAATTTGGAATAGAAATAATATCAAAAATGATAAATCGCGTAAACTATATTGGCGCGGTTATAGGCCAGTGTTCAAACACACCTCTAAACATCTTGTTTTGTTGCTTACTTATGTTTATTCTTGTATTCTTATATTAATTTAAGATACGCGACTCGTTTATGCTATATTTTTGATTGGTGAATTGTTCAAAAAAGTTAAATTGCTTTCTAATTTATATATTATACACTACTAGTTATAATTCAAAAAAATTAAATATGATATTTTTGATTATCTAAATCACTATAAATTTAGGGTAAACAAATGAAAATTATAAATTCAGTGTGCTTCTAATAAAAAATTGACAATTTAAATCATGTGATTTTTC